TGTTATATCTTCCAGGACAACGATATTGCCTATACTTAATCATCTTCACACCAGTTGAAAACGTTTCAAATTTCAAGTTACGTTCCATATCGTCTAGCTTCTCTTCTGGATACAAACAAACCCAACAAAGATACAAGTCTGACTAAAAATAAAGCAAAGTTAGAATAATTGAATACAACTCATATAATAACAGTAATACAAAACCATGCTTACATTATCACTGATAGCAAGTTCGACATAAACGTCATCTTCAAATGAAATGTCGACCGTGTCTGGTAAAATATATTCAGCATCATAGCCCTTATATTCAATGTCTATATTACCTTTTATTTCTTGAGTCGATGTCTTTATTGTAATCTACAAAATAAACGTATAAGGTAAAGCACTGATACTAATAGTAATCAACAATATAATGCTTATTCAAACTTACTACGAAAGTTGTTGTCGGCTTCCAATTTCTCAACAAAATGCTGAGTTTGTATTTGTTCGGAGGTATCCGGAATAAGGGTATTTTTACCTAATGGACAAACGTTATTGGTCAATACTTACAAACAATATGAAAGAGTTCCAAACTATTGTAATAATAATGAACAACTTACTTTGTTAGATCCACAACAGCGCAAATATCCTATAAAACTATTAAATAATAAACTTAATAGTAATAGCATATTGTTATGAACACAGAATACTTATCATGTACATACCCATGACACTTTTTAATATCCAGGTATTTAATATGGCTTTCAAATATAAAATGTGCTTTCAGACAACCTAAAAATAATAAAGTAAATTAGTAATACATAATAATGTGAAAATGTGTAATCAATTGCAACCACTTACTTTTATGCATGTAATAAACTTTTTCATAAAACATGATTGTCTTCATATGATTAAGTGGAGCATTATTATGTTTGTTATACCAAGTTATGGCAGTATTGCACCATTTGGCATAATCATCCACTCCATACTGATCATTACACAGTAATTTCCATTGCTCAACATCATTTGACAAATTCATTACAACAACAGGGCTACCATCCACGAGGATTTTAAACCATTCCATATCCATGTCCACAAGTTCATTTATCATTATCATGGCTGCCTCATTTTGTGAATCAAGACGCTTAATATGCCCAATATCTTGTTCAGCCTCTTTCTTTTTCTCCAAACTTACATGTGCCACTAAACTTAAATACCAAGCATCATCATAAATTCTGTTTACTTCAATTGCTGTCTCAATGTCAAGCAGGGCTTTTCTGAAATTTTTCATATCTAACTTGACTTTTGCTCTATTACACAGTGCCTGATAATTTGTGGGATCAGTTTCTAGTATTTGTGAATACTTTTTCAAAGCTTTGTCCAAATTCTTCTTTTTATATGCAGTTTCAGCTTTTTGGAACAAGCTGTTTATGTTTGGAGTTGTCAGTGATTTCAAAATTGAACTTAAATAAGTTTGTCTGATCTTCCTTCTGTTTTTTCTCTTTTCTTTTTTAAGATCATCATGCTGATCAAATATTTTTGTGTCTGTATTAGTACTACTGCCAGTATTAATGATACAAACATCTTGATAGCTGGTGTCAGTAATATATTGTTGAACGTTATTGAATATTGTCTGTTGTGGTAAATAATATATGTTATCTTTTCTAATTCCACTTCTGCAGTAAGGACAATCCAGGTTGTTCAATGATGAAAGAGCTTTTGAACTAATAATATGTTGACAACTAAGCTGATAAAAGTCACCAACTGCTTCACAAGTAATAGCACATGTTAGATCCTCTGTGATATAGTCAATTGCATGTTTCTCAACACTTGTTCCCTTCCCTTTGTCTTCTTGTTCCTCACTTTGAGCACTTGACAGTCTTTGTCCTGGTGAGTATTTTGAAATCATGTTTGATTCAATTTCTAATTTCTTTTTTAGATATATGAACATACTGACCAATTTAGGTAAATATTCCTCATTACAGTCAGCAATATCATCAGGTGTTGTAACAAACAATTTACTATTTTTTGCTTCAAGATTCAATAGCACTTCAATTGATTTAAATTGAACAAATTCTGTGGTAGCCTTATTCAATGAATCCAATGCTATGTAATAACAAATAGCTTGAGTAGTTGCAGAAAATGTTCTCTGGACAAGTTGCTGAACAATATCCAAAATGCCAAACCAGAGTTCATCACTAACATCCTGGTTGTTAACTGCACTTTCATCATAACATAAACTGACTTGATACCACAGATACTCAAGAAGCACTCTTTCTTTGAAACTTGTTGAAATAGCAGAATTTTGTTCACACCATCTATCAAGACTATCTTGCAATATAATAAGATCTCTCCAGGTTGCATACCATTGCTCGCCAGATGATTCAACATGAAAGGCTTCTGCTAGATACTTCCATGATTTTTCCAAGTCAAAGCCATAAAGAGAAACTTCAACTCCTGTATGATATTTAATTCCAACTTTAGCTAATCCAGGAACAACAACAAGTAAACCTTTTAATGCAGTAACAGCACGATCCATATTTGACTGATACAGGTTATTATCATCACGAACGGTGTTTAGTGTATTTTTAATGAGTTTGAGAAGGTATCTGTTATTGTAATTGCATTTAAAACCTTTGATGGTCTTTACTGATTCATTGGATTCTGAAAATTTAGGTTTCCAAGTTTCTCCCTCATGCTGTGTGATTGTTGAATGTACCTTCTTGTACTTAGGAATAGCTGGTTTAATATTATCAATAAAAGAACGTGTAAATTGACAATTTTTTTGACACATCAGTTCCAGTATGGTTACAATAAGCCGTAATTGCCATTCTAATTTAATGGTTGTTTCTTCTGAGAACACTTCGTCAAACACTTGGGAACATAGACTCTTCACAGCTGTTTCTAACATCTCTACTGATACAGAATTCCCTTTATGTTCAAGAATGTATTTCAGTGCGTAAATATTCTCAGGATACTTCAAGTCCGTCAACAATTCCTTTATCTGCGCATCTGATGACATAAATCCTTGTTCCATTAAATGAAGTATAATCGTAGGCAAACTACGTTCATTAACAATGTCGTTGCTCGGCGTTGAAGTCATCGAGGAAGCACTCAAAGCACTTGTGGTGGGGAAGGTTTCTCCGGTTGTTGAGTCAGAGTTGGCTGTATATGTACGGGAAATTAAGCTTTCGGATCTCTACAAAGTAGCACGTAATGATTAATAAAATGAGCGAGTATTCTCTATTATGTCATTTGCGTCCTAGTACCTTGAAAGCGGTCACTTTCTCACTAACGCTTTATGGTATGTTGATCGACATATCTCCTGACAGGATTTTATTTATTTGTTATGGTATGACATGCATGCTATTGGTGAACATAAATGTGTGCGCTGTCACACGCAAATCTGCCCTTCGTCCGCAGTATTTCGAGTATGAAGAAGTCTCAGAACGTTGTAAATAGTTGAAAAGAAAGACGATAATTTGAATATTATTTGCTTTTAATCGGGCTAGACAAGCCAATGAATGAAACTGGGCAAAAATAATGTCTGATGAACACTTAAGCTTGTCAAGCACAAATAAGATGTTCATCGGGAGTGCAGAACTGTGTCAAATTTAGAGAGATTCGACTCAAACGTCAACGTGTACAATGAACGAGCCAGTTACTTTGATCCATATGATTTATACGAAGGTATGTAGTCTATATTGTATGCATACGAGTATCAATGAGGATGGGATTATTATCTTCTTTTATTCACAATCACTAATGCCCAAGTGTACGTTTATCTCTCCTCTCGTTCATTCTTTCGATGGTCAATTCAAGGTTCAACATTCTTGTATACCCGTTATCATGTCTTCTGCGCTGGTCGATGGGCTATATGTTCTTTGTCGCTGGATTAACCGACAAGGCATGACTTTTCTGTAACAACACATTAGTTTTACTAACATGGAAGGCATGAAGACATGTGCTATCACTGCACTGTTTTGGTGGTATAGTGGATTTTCTTTGACTATGACTGTCATCACATTTCACGTTAATGAAGTGTAATAGAAACACCAACGTGCGTCAACCTACCTCTCTCGCAATGTCAGGCCGCACGTCTATTTGGTTAGACAAAACGTCCGCTCTATCCGATATTGACACTCTCGCCTAAGCACAACCAGCAGCTGTGTTCCTTACTGATGTGGTTCTACTGTAAAATTATTTCCTACAATCAAGACGGATAAATCGTAACCTAGTCAGAAAGTCTGTACAGTACAGAAGGTCTCTCTTTACGATGCGACGACATGGGGTACTCTGCAACAGAACGAACAGAAGTGCAAAACCGTTGAATGTTACGGTTGTCCACGTCATATACCATTAGGTATTCTATCTCTTGCAGCAGTTAGCTTTATAACAATAACTTTCGATATTAAGAGGATTCATAGCAACGTGTTGGAACATTCAAGTGGCAAACGGCAAGAATGAACAATCGACCTTCCGTGACCAAAACGCACAACAATAAAGGACGTACTGTCTTTATCAGTGTGATATAGACAGCACTAATACCGCCTGACTTTCGAAAGCTATTATTACCAACTATTTTCGAAATTCACCACATGAAAATTAGGTATCAGATTGCAAGTTCATTGGCAACAAAAGCCGAGCCCAAGGCAAATACTGGTAGATTTTTGGTACCTTATGGAGAATTTGATTTCAATTATCACTTGCTATATTAAACTGTAATCAATGAAATATTAATTAATTAAGCGTAAGCGTCAACTACGTCGGCTATCACCATCCGTATCATTCAAAACCTTTCCTTAGTATTCCTCTTACTGATCATATCAATAATATCCCCACTAGCAGACGGCAAGGAGTAAAAGGTTCCCCCAATGTTCTGTAATTGCAAGTGGGTAGCTAACAATAGCCAAACATACACTCAAATATTACTGCTGCGTAACTATTAATTGACAACTATATACCCAATTCATTATATAATACTGATTTGAACATTGTCAGATGCGTAAGTTTGTTGAGTACTAGCAGACTTTTGCAGAGTCCGATGAGGGTGTCGTAAGTGACACTTCCATATCATCGTTGGAAAGGGGAACTGATCCAGACTCCTTCCCTACAGCAATAAAAGACGATTCGTTGCTTCTAATAGCGTTGCTGACATTACATCAGCCATTCCGAGCCAGCTCTAGGCATCAACCAGTTGAATGGCTGTATTACCGTCTCGGGGAAAATTTGTTGCGGCAGTGGTTCGATTTGCGATGACGATTCCTTGCAATATGTTTTCCTGCCTCTCTTCTGTTGACATGAGGCTCAATGAGTAAGCAATTTCTGGACCTTTTTCCCCTCTGTCGCGCACTGAGATGTCCGGCTTGAGCACTTCGGCCTCTCTTGGCGCGAGTGGTTTAGAACTTTCGACGGCAGTCGTCTTCTCAACACGCCCCGCTCTGGTAGAGTTACGTTTGGGTGCCGCCTTTCTTTTCGTGATCTTGGGTTCTTCAGACATTTCTTCACCCACTATCGATGAAAGCTCAGTAATATCTTCTATTGCTATGCCTGGATGATTTTGCAAGACCGTTAACTATCGGATCATTAACAAGCTTCGTGTAGTTTGTACAAAGAGTATTTTTCCAATAAACAGACTACACGTCTCTTTTACGCATGCCTTAAAACCAAAACCTTATACGTCAGAAGAATGGATCAAAAACATTACTTCAAATAAATATCTTGGCGAGAAGTGTGACGAATAATTAAAATTTCTCGAAGTTGACAAAATTGACAGTTGGGCGGATACACTCTTATCAAAGATCCATAGCAATACACGTTATCTACAGCTTACATACCTCGACTTTCCAGTAATTTGAGCAGTTTCCTAAGTTACTTTTTCTTTTCATTTAATACGACTGCGAACTACAGAACGTGTTTGAAAGTGTATGGGCCTCTATGACAAATCTGTTCAGAAAATTAATGCGTCTGTCATTTCGGCATAACGACAATCTCTTACTTTAGTTCTTCCTCGAGCTTCACGTTTGCTTCCTAGTATCGATTTATACTGTTAGTACAGTGTCCCAAGGCTCGTTTCAGCATGACGCATAAATTGTTGTTAATCGACATGATACCTCTACAAACTGATCTGTTTGGTTGCATTATTCATCAACTCTCTCCACACAATCGACGATGGTCAATCGTTCACTGGATACAAGTGAAGTTTCCATATGCCCACGATAGCTGTGAATATTCAATTTGTTACTGGAATCTCAACGACGGGTCATCATTTGTTCGTCTCGCTTTGATTTGCTAACGCCTTCTCGCCCTTCAACTGAAAACACAAGCTAAAACGCACTCGATTTATTTACTATTACTCGAAAAAAGAGTAAACACATTCGTATCTTATTCTATCTAAGCATACCTCATAGTGACTATTGGATCTGATTTGACACGGTCTACCATCAGCTGTTTTGTGTCCACTCAAGAGCCTACGGATAACTATAAGCTGCTTTTCCTTTGAGTCTTTTGAGACGCCAGCAGCATTATCCAGTGATTACTACGAGAAATAAAATGCGACTTATTCGTTCAGGAAAAACCACAAGTCTTTACTACAGAAAGGGCCGTCAGCCTCTACCTTTATCCCAGAACCTAGTACAGTCTGTCAGGACGACTTCACACACCAAGTCTGTTGGTAAACGCGTCTCTATTTCAGTATAAAACTTGGACCGATAACAGGTCGTCTGGCAGTACAAACCTAAAAGATCGTGAATTTCATCGAACGTTGATCATTTTATCCCGCGTTTGTCACACCCGCTTTATTCCGCAATTTCCATTAATAATTAACTAACTAAAGAAATTTTATTTTTGTATTGAGTTTATTTAGATAGAAACAGTCAATTCTTCGTATATCTATAGATCCTGGTTCATAAATAACATTCTTATTAATAAACGGAAATGGAACATGACTGTAGATAAGCAAATTCAAATTTTATTTTAATCCTAATATGGTTTCTAAATCTCGCCAAGTTACCAGTTAAACTTAACGATTTTATTCCAATCATTAGTCATTGATTAAACTTGTTTCTTCCATATCTAAACAATTTATTCGTTTTTTTAATAAAAATTTTGAAGTTGAAATTAAACACATCACGGACAAGCGTTATGGTTCTTCAAAAACGGTAATGAAATTTGAAGTCTCTATAACTTTTCTGGTAATGCTAATGTAATAAAGGTATTGAATAATAATTATCTGACTTGGTCTTACGTACATTACTCAAATCGCTACCGCAATTCTATCTCTTGCAAAATGCCTTGCTTGTATCTAGCGATTACAACGGAATCAAACATAAATGCGGATGTTTGTATTTGTAAAATTTTTTTTTGTAGGGGACATAATCCGCATATTGCCGCTCAATCTATTGATGACAAATCAGGGGAGGCAAAACTGGGTTATTGGGTAAATGTTTTTCATCGCTATTGAAGAGAAGACACTATACGGCTGCGTTTTCATTAGATTCTTTAATGTTAGAGATAAAAGTGCAAAGACCCGATGTGTTTTCTGTTTAAGGGTGCTAAACCGTTAGAAGATAGAGAATTTACCTTCCGCAAAGGAAAAACAGTATATAACTACGGGGGAAACTATTGCGGATTAATGAAATCGTTATAGTAATAGAGAACTTCCGTTTCCCAAAATCAAACATTTTGAAAATTTTCCAAAAAATGGTAGTAATCATTGTAAGATACAGTGACTGTTGATTGTATTTATTATTATAAACATGTCGTTATTCAACGTCTCAATAGTTACTACTTAAATACAAAGCCGATTCACATTCTATGCGTTATCTGCAATACACGTTCTACAGCAGTAATTGCCGTGTATCTACATATAACAAAGTAACTGTAACCATATGAAGGCTTATAGCGTAACTTCTAAAGAAATAGCAGTATGAAAATAGAGGAGACAAAAGAATAATAATTTCACGTACGTGTGTTGATAGTAAACACAATTGCAATAATACAATATTGTAGCCGATTACTCGCGTGTTTATAAACAATGTTCGGGCTAATAATCATATATCCCATATTTGTCATCAGGATAATAATATTGCCTATAGTCAATCATTTTTACACCAGTTGGAAATGTTTCAATTTTCGAGTTACGTTCCAAAATGTTTAACTTTTCTTCCGAATATAAACAAACCCAATAAAAATTGACTCCTAACTAAATAAAGTTATAAGTTAGAACAATTGAATACGTTTTACATAAATAAATAAATAAATAAATAAATAATTAATTAATTAATTATCCTTACAGCTGCAGCATCATCACTACTGAGAACAATGTCTATAATGATGTCATCTTCAGACGAAACGTTAACCGCGCATGGTAAAATGTATTCAGTGTAGTTGGCGTTACGTTTAATGTCCGTCTTATGTTGTATTTCTTCAGTTGATGTTTTTATCTACATAAAAAGTTTCTATTACTATTAACAAATACAATGATGACTGTATTATGTATCAACAACACCCATCAAATACTTACTACAATTGTAACAGTCGTTGATTCATCCCATTTATTCCCCAACAAAATGCCGAGTTTGTATTTATTTGGAGGTACTTTGAATATTGGTATTGTTACCTAATATATAATTGTTTAT